CCCCCCAAAGAAAGTGTGGACAAGTGTCAGAGCAATGAGGTGCAACTGCAACGCTTTTTTTTTTATATGTCTTATGTCAAGCCAGGTCAAACTTTGTGGATGCTGCTAAGCGGTTTCGTTGGATAGTACGGCAGTTCCTCTTTGCATCTCGAAGAATTCTGAGCCATGCCGACACTTAGATCCCACACCACGTGTTTTTCTGCATGAGCAGCAGATTCAGGTAGCATATTGATCAGCCCAGCGACCTAAGTTGCGATGATTCGGAAACACCAGTTGTTCTGACCATCTGCCAGCTTCACGTTTAGCAAGACAAAGAAAGACAAAGTACATAAAATCCTTTCGGCATTGGTTGATGCAAACTGGACCCGCCACTGTTGTCTGCTTTGATTCGGGAAGCAGGCTGAGGCTTCCCCAATCGGTGGGTCTTCGTGTTCATGTTTTTTTTGGCTTTTTCAGGCTGCGGCAACATCGTCCACCCATGCCTTCCAGATCTTCCAGATTGCATTTTAGAGGGGTATCTCATGCTTTACTGCAGTCCTCTGAATTTGTGATAGCACCATTGTGCGGTCGCACTGTTGCTTCCATGTGTGCCTTATCCTGTTCCATTGTGCAGCTACAGTAGGAGTTCAGTGCAACTTCGCAAAGACTTTCCGCCTCTCCCTCTGTGACCTTGCGAATGCAAACCTCCAAAGGCCCTGACGCATCGCAGGATGTGGCAGGTGAACAAGCACCATTGGATCATCGTTAGAGGCAAGAACCGCTGAATCACAAAGGATGGGACAAAGGGGGCAAATGATAAATGGGTACCAATGGCAGAACTGATGCTACTGCTGATTGAGGACATGATCCGTGTTTGTCACGTGCCGACTTGGCTGCTTTTGACATCCCAACTCATGGTCCCCCCCCACCCGGATTGTCGAAGGTTGCCATCTTCGCACCATCCAGCCCGATGCCTCAATGGAGCAGTGGGATCTGTTGAAAGGGTCAGACGGAGTTAAACGACTATTGAAGATTGAGTGTTCACCTTGAGAAGAGGGGGGCAACAGGAGAGGTATGGGATCCAAAGCTGTGGAGCTGTGAAAGCTGTGGAACTGTGCAAATGACAAGTGATCCAGCGGTCCACTAGTCCGTTTTCACTGTTGGTCAAGTGGTAGGTTCCTACTACCTACTGAGACCTACTGCGAGTAAATTTGCACACGTTCACGGAGGAAGAAAAGGGGTAACTGCCAGGTGGTCACTGCCTCGAAACATGTTGAAACAGCGCAGTTTGACCGCTTGTGAAGTGGCAACATCCTCCTGATCACATTATATGACTGATTTACAGGCTAGGCAAGGAACAGCCGATCTTTTCTGTCGATCCATTGATCGGGGGAGCTCTATCTATTGAGTGGAGAGCGCCCCACCCCCGCATCACAAGACAACTCGAGTGGCCCAAATCAAGCTACCTTTCATGAAATCAAAGATCTCTCGGGTCATATTTTCTGGATCAAACCATTCAATTTGGGTGTGCCAGGAATGATGACTCATACCCGATTCATGCGTAATTCTTTGTGCACGGACAGTTTGTCATCTCTGTGGGCCAGGCTGGCGAACAGCTCTGCAATCCTTGGGCCATTGGCGTGCAACGATACAAGACTACCAAAAGAAAAACATGGGATCAAGAGGAGCCCATGCCACTTCTCTGTGTGTGTGCGGGATTTGGTACGTCCAGAAGATTTGGGGTTTGGTTGGATTGCACTGCTCGTGCCTGCCTGAGTCTGATCCCACAATGGTAGGATCATCCAGGCAAAAACTGGCACTGGGCCCCGGTTAAGGTCTAGTGGATGGTCAGTCCCTCCTCACTGCGAGATCAACCGACATGAAAAAGTGTTTGCCTCCGCATCTTAGTGCTCTGCAAGGGCTGGCGACAGTGACCACTTTAGACAGTTGCAACAATAACTTTCAATGACGAGAGTCTTCGCTTCACGGTCGGTGCGGATGAAAGCGGGCTTCTCCTAGCCACGACAAAGATATCAAATCTCAAATCAGCGATCCTCTGGTCAACTTACCCGTTGAATGGTTTTACTTGGTTTTACTGTTTGAATGGCAAGATTCCTCCACATATATGGCTATTCCATCTTCCTGACATGACAAGGCATTGTAGAATGCAGCGAAGCTGTGACTTCGCCATGAGAAACTCTCCTTGAGCTTCCCATCAGCCTCGGACACAAACCCGCTGCAATATGTACCCCCAATCAAGTGTATACAGTATATATAATTGTTGGTGCCTGTGGCGGTTGTCTTTACATCCACTGGCAAGCGGCTGTGATTGTCAGATGTAGAAGGTCTGAATAGCAACCATCAACCTAAACTCTACCCCTGTTAACCGTTTGTCTTACACAGCAGGGCATTGTCGAGACTGGGCTCATGGAATTCATCCTCTTTAGCAGTATCTTGGTACTGCACGCGGAGACCAATCGGTCAAGGTGGGCTCGACTCGATCTCATCCATACCGTGACCAGCATGCCGGTGCAAGAAGCCCTTGCAGTGGAACATGACAGTGAAGTACTTGGCCACCCTCTTGCTCCCTTGGATGGGAGTGGAGTTGCGTGTACGTCATGTGCAGCAAAATGGCAACGTCTTCACTCTACAATCGACAGGAATAGCTCCCCTTAGCACTGCATGCAAGTCCTCGAAGGCAGCCCTTTGAAATTGCAATATGCGTGGAGCCAAATCCCGCCCAGCATGAACAAAGGGCAGCTGCGGGGCAACCATTTTTCTTGTCATTCAAAGCTGCTAAAGCACAAGCGAGAGCCTCTCAATCTCCATGATGGTTCAACAGCCGCTGTTCATCCGACACAGGCAGGTGCAGCAACCTGTCGCGTGAGGAAACCCATGACACGGAGGCTTCATCATGCGGCATGCGTGCAGGTGCTTCCAAGCTGTGTGCCAGGTCAGTTTCCCAGCACGAGCCGACAGCCGACTTGCTGCAAACGTCACGTCATGATCGGTCAGGATCCAAAACAAAGCCAAAAATGTGCCCTTGGTCGACATACTTCCACAAAAAGGCCGCCACAGTCATGGTGGCAGCCATGCCGAAAGGCGCATGTTATGTTCTTGGCATCAACTTGCCACAGGTAAATGAGAAACCTGGAGGCATATAGAAGGTGTCATCGAAGGAAGTTGGAGGCCCGACGTGTAAGTCCAAGTAAAAGGAGAGGCCACCAGCTGCAGCACTCTCATGCTGCGAACAAAATTGCAGTGTCATTGTGCTGTCAGCACTGGCAAACTGCTCAGGCAAGAAAAAACAAAAAGCACAATGCAAGAACAATGTCATGCAAGAAAGAATCACAAGCCCGTACGTACATACAGCAAATCTCTCCGCCAAGATCCGCCAAGTCTTTCGTGGACAATTTGCTCCAGCGTAACCTGTGTCAAGTTTTGAGCCGCAAGTCAGAGTCTCAGGGTAAGTTCCAGTTGTCAATGCCCATGCCGTGTTCATCCGCGATGACCTTTCAAAACTTCGCACCCATCTGGACCAGCCCTGATTTCTAGACATGGACGAGCTCGCAGATGGCTGAAGCGGGTGGGCAAACGGTGCGACTTTTGATGTCGAGAGCAACCGAAAGAATCTACAGTACTTGAAGTCCAAAAATAGCGAGGAACTCTGGCAAGGCACGTGCGCTTCGTGCGCTTGTCGAATCGCCACGACTCAGCACTGAGTGTCCCACAACCAGGCCATCGCAAAGGGCGGAAGCGAGTTCCTTGCCGGTCCACTCGGCCTGGCTCGTGGCTGCCTTGTGGGATCTTGACGTCAGGGGGTGTCAACCCACCTGGATTTCTCAAGAACTGAACGGTGCCTTTTAATTGTGAATTGCCACTGAACCATCAACACGTCAACCAAAACACACCAAGGTGTTGAGACTAAAATCCTAGGCAACCCTTCCGATAGAGTGGTGCCCACAAACCCGCGCCTTGAAAGGCATGATGAGGAAGATGAGGATGCCAACCAAAAAAACGCTACCGTCTATGTCGAGCTTCCGTGTTTGAGTTGAAACCTTCTTTGATACCCTTATATACGTCAAGCTAGCGTGTTGGTGGATGATGCAAGGAAGCATGGGAAATTAGACTTGTTGCACTGAGCTAAGAATCGTCACCCCTTAAACATGAACCCAATCCATTCTCAAGGTAGGTTTTAGGACATGCGCAAAGCAGTGCAAGTGAATTGGGCCCCATGTGCTCAACACACTATTGCACATAGTGGTTCAAGAAGTGTTTGTGGTGGATCGTTGCATCGCATGAGCTCCTGAGCCGGAACTGGCTTGACAAGGGTGCCACATGCGCGTTAATGCAAGCTGAATCTTGCGGATGCACTTTGTTGTAGCCTCGGGTCATGCCGGAATAAGGTTGCTAGACTGCTAGGGACCCTGACTTTATGTCTATCATCTCTAAAAGTAACAACTCTAAGTGGACCTTTTTTTTGGTAAGCAGAACTGGGGATGGGGGATGAACCTCATGTCTAGGTGTTGTTTGGTCGCGCAGAGAGACTGGGTTGCGATTCCTCACTGGTCGATGAGCCTCACCGTCCAACCTTTGACATTTGAAGCACTTCACCTCTAATGGATCTTCAGGAATGGACATGAACAGTCTGCAATTCTGCTGTGCAAGGCAGGTAAAAGCATGCGTTGTGTTGGAGATGTTTTTCCACTTCAATTTCGCGACATTGTTGACTTGAACCAACGATGTTGGAATGTTTTGGACCATCAAATTGCTAGGCTTATCCATGCTTTTTGGCTCGGTGTGAGCTCAGTCATCAATTAAGTGGCCTGTGTATCTGCAAGTTGGCCAAGCACCTTCCCAGCGAAACGGGTTGGCATACTCAAAAATGCGGCTCCCCATGCGTAGAACCGTTAGAGTGCATCAAAAGCTCAAAAGACATCCCACAAAATGTCAAATGCTTGGAAAACTCAAACCAACAGGTGATACACCCTCCAAAGAGACACATCCATATGCAGCAAGTCTTGACAGCTGTTCGCGATTTGCTTTGCAGCGACGCTCGCTGTATGTGTTCCGAGTCTTTCGGTGCTGATGTGAGATCCATATCCGAAAGGGTATCAGAAGTGCTTCGCTGCAAATTCCTTCAGGCTCACTCATCATCCTTGGCTTCATTTGTCGAATAGGCATGTCCCACAAAGAGTGCGACCTCAGAAAAGTCAGCATGGAGTTCAGCATGGCAGCTCCACATAAGCTTTTGAAGCCAAGTAGCACAAAAGACTTTTATGAAAATGTGCCTCAGATTGAAAGGCAACAAGCCTTCCGTCCAGTCACAGCACCACTGGATTGCTTTGTCCGCGCCAAGCCGCATTAGCCAAATGGATCTAACAAAAAAGATCCAAAGCAATAGATGCGCCAATTGCAGCCTCAAAGCCATTTCTGCGTCGGTTGTGTTCAAGCTTTTGTGGCTTTGTCGGTATTCGTAGAACTTACCACCCTGCAACTGATGCACATACTATGATCAGCGTGGTTGGTCAACCCTAAAGCAAACGCAACTCGGTAAATGCTACTGCTAAACTTGACACCCAGAGTTTGAGGAGATTAAAGGAGTGAGCAAGGACGCTACTAGTAGCTCCTGGCATCGCTACTACTACTAGGAACAAGAAGCCACTAGGGAGCAAGTCTTGTCAACACCTCCGGTTCAACAGATCGCCCAAGGGTCCCTCGCACGTGCATAGAGGCCGTGAAGTGTGGCAGTTGTCCACAGGGCAACAGCAGCAAGGCCGTTTGCAGCGCCATGGTCCTAGACCAGTGTGAGTCATGTCCTCCGTTCAGATTACACACAAACGTCAGGATGATGAGTTTTGGCAACCCAAAATCTTCCGGTTTATCATGCGATAAACTTACTTCGGGGTGCAAACGCCTCCGCCGCAGTTTTACTGTGATCGTCTATAATATTCTCTAAAGGAAAGCGGTGGTAGTGGCAGGTCGTGCCTTCATAACTGTCTTGCCTGTGCATCTCGCTGGAATTTTAGATATATATAGTTGTGCCTTTCCCTAAGTACGAGCAAAACTTTGTATATATACTAAAATGTGTTGATGCGCTTGATGACCCATGCGGCCCAGCTGCCACATCAAAAGGCCAAAGTGCGACAAGGAGTGCAAGATTACCAAAACCAAAACGATAGTCAGGTAGAAGGGCAAGAAGCGTGGCAAATTGTGCCTCCGCATAGCGGCGCTTGAAGTGCCCAGCATTTGTTAAAGCTACGTACCCCTGGAAGAGGATGATTCCAAGAGTTTTACTATATTGTTCTTCACTCCTGTTAACTCAGGAGGTAACAAAATTACCTGGCCATTGGCGAGCAAAAGGAATCAACTCTGGCTCTAACTATTCTTTGTGGGCTGCTGGTCCCCCGATCCTTTTCTTGGTAATTGGTTTTTCTGTCTCAATTGGGTTTCCAGCAGGGTGGGAGAATGAAGGAGGAGAAGTGGGTGGGGACACATGGGGGCGGCAATGGGAGCACGAAGAAAAATCTATATTGTTTTTTCAATCTGTGATTCGTTTGTTGTGTTCTTGGTATCCTTGGTTCACTGGTTCTTGCGTTTCGCTTTGCAAGGGGGGGGGGGGGCAAGGGTGAGGGATCAAAAAACAAAAATATATATAGTTTAAGGATATATATATATATGTATTTTTAAAAACTAAGGATCGAAAAACGGTATATATGACTTATGAGTTTAAACAAAATATTCAAGGGATGAACAAGACATGAAATAAGGATGGCTGTTAGCATTTATTCCCCAAACATCTAGCTTAGAAAAAAGAGATGGCCACACTGATTGGAAACTGTTTGGGGTCTATGCTGGTAAAACCTTAGCAATAGCAGTGCTGTCGTTGGAGAGCAATGGTAGGAGTATGAGTAGGAGTAGGAGTCGGAGCAGGAGTAGGAGCAGGAGCAGGTGTAGAAGGAGTAGCTGTTGTAGTGGCAATAGCAATAGCAATAGCAAAAGCATGAGCAGTAGCAATAGCAGCGGCAGTAGCAGCAGTAGTAGTAAGCAGTAGTATCAGCAGCAGCAGCAGCAGCGGCAGCAGTAGGAGTAGTAGAAGTGCCAGTCGCAGCCGCAGTAGCAGTAGCAGCCGTAGTAGTAGTAGTAGTAGTCGTCGTCGTCGTCGTCGTCGTGGTGGTGGTGGTGGTGGTAGCAGTAGCAGTAGCAGTAGCAGTAGCAAAAGCAGTAGCAGCAGCAGCAGCAGTAGTAGCAGCAGCAGCAGGAATAGTAGTAGTAGCAGCAGCAGGAATAGTAGTAGTCGTCGTCGTCGTCTTCGTCGTAGTCGTAGTCGTAGTCGTAGTCTTAGTCTTAGTCGTAGTCGTAGTCGTAGTAGTAGTAGTAGTAGTAGTGTCATTGTTTAGTTAGAATTTTGCGTTCTCTTCCTGGCCGTGTATCATATTCCTTTTCTTAATTGACAGTTCTGGGAGCATACTCAGGTGGAAAATATTACAATAAATGCCTGGGCCTTAGTTGAAAGACCCGTCATCGGGAACTTACTGTAGATCCAAAGATAGTTCCAGTACACGCAGAGAAGCATAAAGGGTTTGACTCCAATGTCAATGTATGAAGGGGCCCAGATGTGACCCGGCTGTTACCACTCATGAACTGGCCTTGAAGTGAAATCTGGGATGGAAAGGCTTGGATGTGTAAGGGGGCAGGCGAGCCACTGGTTCTCTGGGCACAGCTCATACAATTTCATAACGGATATAGCACCACCGTCAAATTTGTCGCTGACTTTTCCATGTAACTTAATGGTGGTTCTCTCTTACATTGATAAGGGCCCATCTGTCTCTTCCTTGTGGCGCCCACAAGATCCACCAAAATTATTCGGGCGCCACTGGCAAGGTACAAATCACCTAGAATGGCATGCCTTTCCTCCTTCTTCTCTCTTTCCTCTTTACCCTTCATGTCGATTCATCCCTCTCAGCCCCGGATCCAAGAAGGGGCGCAAGGAATCCCAGGCAAGCCACTGTAAGATAGAATGACTGACGCAAAGAAAGCAAAATAATAATGTCTCCACCATGTGTTGCAATCCGGCTGTTTTATGTTTCCCTTGAACATGTGTTTCAACATCAAGCCTCCAAACCAGCTTGGGATAGTTGCACCCGAGCGAGACATAAAAAGATTAGAATAAAAAGAGTGAATATCTAATTACGCCTGCGCCTACGCCGCTTTTGGAACCGACCTTCTTCACATCCTGGCGCTTCCTCCATGCTTCGCGCCGCGTCACGCCGAGCCTCAAGTGTTCTAAAGCATCAGATTGGCCACGTCGAGACCGACGCTTAGGGCCCCCGTCCACCTCCAACGCGAGGAAAGATGACCATTGAAATGGCAGCCGGAAGCCTCCACAAGTTGCGAGTCCCAAAAAGCACCGATATTTTTTTGAAAGCCAACTCCACTTCTGGCGTGGATTTCTTGCAAAAGTCTTGGGACCAACAAGGATTGCAAGGCAAAGGTGGACACAGCAGCCCAGAGCTAGGCCGAGGCGGACACAGCAGCTCAGTGCAAGGTATAAAAAAAGGAAACAAAAGGGAACAGAAGGGAGACAAAAGGAGACAGAAGGGAGACAAGGCGGACACAGTGACCAACAAGAAGGGAGACAAGACCGCAGACAAAGGGAGACAGAAGGGAGACAAGGCGGACACAATGACCAACAAGAAGAGAGACAAGAAGGAAGACAAAAGGAAACAGAAGGGAGACAAGGCGGACACAGTGGCCCACAAGAAGGAGAACGGAGACAAGGGGGACACAATGACCAAAAAGAACCGAAAACGAAGTTATACGGGTGTGGTTTTTACGCATTTTTGTGATTTGTGGTTTTCTGCGTTTTTTTGAAAATGTTGGTTGTTTTGAAGAACGTGTCTAGCAAAAAAGTCGACTTGTAATCTGTCAAATTTCTCATCAATCTTATTCAAACATACTAGTTCTCATGATTCCCACACAGAAGTCCATCAATCATCATCTACCAGCAAGTCCACGACATCCCATCATACATCATCAGGTCATCACCTCTATGAGGGAGATCTGGTCTCCAAGACCTCCAATCTCAATGAGTTCTCAATCTCCAGCAACTGGGGCCTGGGCCTGGGCTTCTCTGGGGGGGGGGGCGAAAAAAAAAAATGCTTGGTCAACAATTTTTTTCTTTTTTTCCCGCCCCCCCCGAGAGAAGCCCAGGCCCAATTTGCTGGAGATTGAGGACTCATTGCCAATCCCACGAGCAATTTTTGTTGTGTTTTTTGCGCCCCCCCCTTGGAAGTGGCCCAGGCGCTGGGAGGGGGGGGGCAGAAAAAAAATGCTTGTGGGATTGGACAACCTGTTCTTTTTTTTTCCGCCCCCCCCGAGAGAAGCCCAGGCCCAATTTGCTGGAGATTGAGGACTCATTGCCAATCCCACGGGCAATTTGTTTTTGCACGCCCCCCGTTCGAAGTGGCCCAGGCGCTGGAGATAGTCGAGATTATGGATTTCATTATAGCTACCTGTGTAAGAGTAGCAATTCCACCATAACTTCTTATATTCCTCTCGTCTGTTTGAAGACACAACTGTCTGCTCCTGCAAGCACTTGTATGCTATTGGGTGAAGAGAAGGTTCTTCATGAGCTTGGGAATGAGTAGTGGCCACACAGCCAATTCAGACCCTTAGTGTATCTATGGCTGGATCGTTCCATGGGCTTCATAAGGTTCTTTGGAAGATTTCGTCGTAGATGGGGGGATATGGAGCATAGACCTGAAGAGCCATTGGGTGAGAACAGTGGAGATGAGCAGGATTGGTCTAATCGAACTTGTGGGATAGGATGTCTCGCAGAATGGTTCCCTATGACCCTGAGAATGAGGATGAGGCTTATTGTGGGTATGGGCGTCAAGAAGGCCATGCAAAGCCCAATTCCAATCAGTCATCCAGGTCCAGTACTACTAAGCAAGCTTCTCAACTTTTGTTGGGCCTGGTGGGCACATTGTGTTTCAAGATATTGATCTTCTCTCCATTTCATCAAGAATGTGGAGGGAGAAGCCCATTTCATAAAGAATGTTGAGGGAGAAGCCCAAAAAGTGCTACCTTTGCAACAATGAGAATGCTTATGGGCAAGGAAGGGTAGAGTCGGACCCAGAGGTTGTTTTAAAAAAGAAAAGTTGGTTTGTTTGGGAAACAGGAGCACAAGAACATATCTAGACCGCAACCGTGGAAACTCTTTCAAAACATGACAAAAGCTAAGAAAAACACAACAAAAACGCATAAAAACCACACCCGCATAACTTCGAGCTCTCAAAAAGAAGGGGAACAAGAAGGGAAACAAAAGGAGACAGAAGGGAGACAAGGTGGACACAGTGACCAACAAGAAGGGAGACAAGACCGGAGACAAAGAGACAGGAGGAAATGAATAGAAATGCTGCATGGCCAGCGGAAAAGGGCGGACACCAGCAGTGCAGGCACCGAACCTGGGAGACAAAAGTAAAGAAATCACCTGGGAGACAAATGAATAGAAATGCTGCATGGCCAGCGGAAAAGGGCGGACACATCTTAAGAAAGAATTGAGAACCCCTAACAGCAAATTATAGTAAACTGTTTGGGAAAAGAGAACAACTGACGGTGGCCTTTTCGCCGGAGACACGGGGGAAGATACTCCGGGGAAAAACAACATAGACCGTAACTCAACTTCAAGTGGGCTTTAACATGGACCACTGGAAACGGTGACTTCCTGGGGAAACGGTATTAGCGCCTTTTTTTGCAATTTCTGGACCCTCACTAACATGGACCGTTCCCACTCTCAGTCTATGATCGATTTTACTAACATGGACCAACTGCACTCTGACTATAAACTGAACGCAGGCTAACATAGACCGCGCCGGTAGAGATCAACATGGCCCGGTGGAGGCTAACATGGACCATGTCACATACCTGTAGGGGCCTCCTGAACAGGTCTACGTTAGTCTCAACCGAGGTACTGCAGGTGCAAAACTAGACAGCTCTTTTAGCACGGTGGAGGCCAACATGGCACACTGGAAACGGCGCATTCCTAGGACATATAGGATACTGGGATTTCGAGCATCAGCAGCCAGCAAGCCCTAACATAGAAGAGGGGCAAAGAAAAACAGGACAGTGTGGAGCAGCGTGGAAGCGAGAAGATGTGGGCCCACCCAAAAGCTAACATGGACCATTCCCACCCTCGCTACTCTCAGTCCACGGTCCAACCTGACACTAGGTTTTCCAGATGTCGAGTGAGGCATGTGCCTAACATAGACCACTTCCACTCTCAGTCCCTGGTCCACACTGACACACACTTTCCACAAACCTGAGTCAGGCGTGTGGCTATCATGGACCGTTCCTACTCTCAGTCTATGCTCGATTTTGACACTAACATGGACCAACTGCACTCTGACTATAAACTGAACGCAGGCTAACATAGACCGCGCCGGTAGAGGTCAACATAGCCCGGTGGAGGCTAACATGGACCATGCCAAGTACCCGTAGGGCCCACCATGGCACATCTGAATTTGGTCTAGGTTAGTCTCAACGGTGTCCGCTCGGAAACTAGACTAACATATGCCCCAAAAAATACTTGTTTTGCCAAAATGTTAGTTTTCACCGGTGTAAGATATTTCTGCACTGTGCAACACAGCGTGTATGCTTTGATAGCAGCATGACCGCGGGAAAGGCTCAAGGACATGATTGTGCAAGACGAGACGGAAGCCCTGGGCCCAATCCCGGGCACTTACGATTACATCTTTTCCCACAGGCATGCAGCGGGCAGCTTTCCAAGCATACTCACCGTAGTCAGGAAACCAAACAAAGCCTCTGTCGAAAGTTGCTCCCTGACTGCTGACAATTGAATGCAAATCGTTGACGCGAGAGCGCCTGCAAAGGCACATCAATATAGGACACTTGACCAAAACAGCACCAGGAGCATGAGTACACATGAGCGTGCTGGTCTCAAATCTCCAGAAACCTCATGGTTGTGCTTGTGTGTTTAGAAACTGGCCTCCCTGCTTTACCAACACTTGTCATTTGATGAGACACCCATGAAGGGCTATGGCTATGGGGATTGTGAACCTGTGTCCTGGCCTAATGGCGACTGCAGAGGCAGCCGTTCTGCCAGCAAGGACAGGTGAGTCGTCGCCTGATCACGAGGATCTGATGCCGATTTTGAGAAATTTAGTCTTCATTCCAAACCCCATGGCCAATGACGGAATATCCCATCCAATCCTCAAGCTAGTCAGTACAGAAATTCCAACCAAACTACCACGGCCACAACCCCGCTCCCTCCAACGCTACATCCTGACCCGCCTCGTGGTCATCCAAACTCCAAGACTCGCGACGCAGCAACTCTTCGAGCACCATGTTGGCCACGGCGACCTCCGGCCACAGCTGAAGGATTGCGAAAACTTCGCATGTTTTAGCCCACTCCTACAACGCCATTATGTAAGGAAGTAAGCTACTAGCTCCTTAATCTACCACATTACATATGGATGCAGGACAGCTGGCGCTAGTGACTTGGCTCCTGTTTTTTTGAAATTATGTCAGCATAGACCCCAAACAGTTTCAGCACAAATGTTTGGCGTCAACTCCTCGAGCTCCAGTGTCTGTCGTAACAATTGGGAATGGTACACAAAAAGCCGTCAGAAAACAATTCAATGGTTCCGGTTGTCACATGTGCAAATACGAAGGGCATATGTCATGAGAAAGTCCGCGGATGATATCAAACGCTGCGTGACCGTCCCCACTCATGACTACATGAAAACATACCCGGGAAAAACGGCGAGAAAGAGAAGAGGAGGACAACAGACACAGTCTTGTTCTGCTGTTGTCCTGTGTCCTCCTCTTGTCCCCTTCTTGTCGTTCTTTAGTCATGCTCTTGTCCTCCTGTTGTCCTCTGGGTGCGTTGGCCAACTCTGTGCTCTCCTCTTGTCCTTCTGTTGTCCTCTGTTGTCCTCCTCTTGTCCTGCTGTTGTCCGCTGGCCGCGCTGGTCAACCCTCTGTCCTCCTCTGTTGTCCTTTGGCCGCGCTGGCCTGGGACACAGTTGGCCAGCGCGGCCAGAGGACAACAGCAGCACAAGAGGAGGCAAGAGGAGCAAGAGAAGGGCAAAAGGATGACAAGGCCCGGACACCTCAGCCCAAACACAGAGTTCAGGGGCGCGGCCAGCCAGTGTGGCCGGCTTTTTTTCCTAAGAGAGAACCCCAACAGTAAACTGTTTTTTCCCTCTTCAAGCTGCACAATCGCAGGCCCGGACTAATGCTTGACCACAGTGAGACACTAACCGGCAAACTACGAACAAAATGAGCGAGCGAAAAGGGCATAGGGACAGGACATGCACGAACCTAAATGCGGAAACAGCCTCTAAGAGGGTGCTGCATGAGCAACACGAACTGCGTCAACACAAAGCGGCCAATTAATCCGGGAAAGTGCTGCAAAGTGGTCCCTTTCTTCGATGTTGAGGAAAATGGTTTCGGGTCTGGTACAGTAGAATAGAACTCCGGACATGAATAGTTTGCAAAACTTTTGTTAAAATCACCATCATCTGGAGCCTAGTGGGTTCAGCCAGGTGGGTAGGTGATGCAGTGATACACCATATATCAACCTTTTACGCCTTACGAATGCCAATAAACCCCCCCGTTAGGCTTTGAGCTTCTTCTAATGTCTTTTGTTGTCCACTCCTCTATCAACATGTCCAGGATTGCTGCACCTGCAAGGTGAGTACCCAAGAAGTGGTCGCTGGTGCAGCTGATGACTCCACCACATCTTCCTGGCGCTCTCCATGGTGCCCTGGTTGTCCACCGTCAACTTCAAACAAGCTGTTACTAGTTATCCTAATCTGCTTTCATTGACCCACATCAACTTACCTCAATCCAGCCTAGTTGAATGTCCGTCATACCTGCTGAACACATTAGGCGGGAAGGAAGCACAGTATCTGGGTCCTCCGTCACATCGCCCTTCTTCTTCCGTTTGCCCTTCTTTTTGGCTGACGCTGCAAAGGTCTTCCCCTCGCTCCGAGCACGTGTCTCCTGGGGCACCTGCTCCGAAGGGGCCTCCTGAACTGAAATGGAAACAGTGCACGAGGAAACTTTTTGTGGGCTGTTCCACTGAAAGTCTGGATCTTATTATGACTATCGTTATCACATTTGTAAGAATAAGGATGAAAATATGTTGAATCTGCCCCCCACAAACAAAACACAAAAACTTAAATCATAGCGTGGTCGTGACTGTACAAGCCATTATGCTCGATCATCACGATTCAGAGCGAAAAGGACAAGGTTAGTTGAAAGCACCCACCAGCTAGGCTGCTAGGCTGTTCAGAAACTAATGTTCGGAAACTACGAAGAGTCGAAGAGCAACATCAAACCTGCACGAAAAAGCTTCTGCAGATCGCAAAGTAGGCATGTATATACCGTAGCCGTCACAGAATACTTGCCAAAGCATGCAAATAAGTTTCTGAAGATCGCGAAATAGTTTCCGAAGAATAGTTTCTGGAGAGTAGTCGCGGAAGAGTTGCGGAAGAAAAGTTTCAGAAGAATGGAGAGTTGCGGAATAGGACTTTGTTCCTGGTCGCAGCTTCCATTCCCATGGTTGTTCGGCCATTCAGTCCTGCAGTTCATCAGACTCGTCCACCTCTTCTGTGCCCCAACGACGTCCTCCATTGGCCATAGAAGCCAAGGGTGCTTTCTCAGGTGCCAGGGGCGGAACACCTTTGGACTTGGTGAGCACAAAATCCTGCGACCAGCGCATTGTCCGACTTGGTGCTAATCTCTCTGCATGTTTTTTCGGAATCTTTGAGGTGCACACCACGCACTTCCGTCACAAATCGGCATCGTGCCTGATTTCTGGATGTCTTTTTCTCCATGGATCTGTCCAATACAAGCCATGTTTACTGTTGGTCAAGCTACCCCTCCCTTCACCACCAATGGAACTATGAGGTCGAATCGTGTTTACCTTTGGCATCTGTTCAATTCACTTCCTCTTGAAGCGGCACAACGGAACGAGGCAAATGAAGCAACGGTCCTGGTTGGCAGACAACTTCCCAGCCGCCGGAATGGGCGGTGGGGCTGGCCGCACCGTCTCCTCCAAAGCTGGGGACGATGTCCGAGGGCTTCATTCATGTTAGGCTTGGCGATGTTTGGGGAAGGCGACAAAACAAGTAGGGAAAAAAACGATTCATGAAGTCACGCCAGTTAACAGACTGAAATGCAGGATGGAACCCACAATAATGCTGCACCATTCAACCATCACTCGCTGGGTAGCATAAAGAATAGTTGTTAGTTGTTGGGTGCTGTCGGCAAAAACATTGGATAGAATGACTAACATAAGTTAAGCGTCACAATAAAACCCAGAATCATGGGCATTGCAGGCACAAACGACACTGGAAGCTAAACGCAACTAACACGGCTCCTCCCAGAAGAAGTCGTTGTCATGAGTTTCGGCTATTTCTGGCACCTTTGCACCCCGCACCTTGACAGCCAGAGTGGCAACATGTCGCTCTGCATGTTGCAGCTCCTTCGTGTTTGGATCGTGCCTGCGCGGCCGCTTCAGCACGCATCCGCTGCACCAGTGTGACACCGGAGGTCCAGGAGGTCTTTGGCGCAGCCTTCGGTTTGTCCAAGGCAACGGCTGCAGCACCTGGAGCCCCAGGTCTTCGCAGAAAAGTCCAGGCAACCGAATGGCACTGTAAATTTCTTGGCTGAAGACACGGGGAAAAAAAAATAACAAAAGGCTATGTTTATATAAGTGTTCTGCTTGTTCATCTCCTCTTAAGGTCCCCAGTCAGCGGTGCCTCTGCCGGTGTTGCTGGGCACTGGTGCTTTTGTTGGTGCTTTGCGCGCGGCCGCCCAGCCAGCGCCAGGGCCTGCAGCCACCGTAACCACCTCCGCGGTGGCAGCTGCAGCGCGGCGACGCCGCAGGGCGGCCTCTAGGCGGTCAGGCGCAGTGTCTCGCACCTTCTTGGCGTCCTGGCTAAACCGTCAAGAACTTCCCCACAAGGCCAACCCCAAGGGTCGAGGATCGCGTTCTTCTGACAGGTCCTCGTAGCGGCGCTTGAAGGATTGCAACTCGGCGTTGGATTTGAAGCTGTGGCGACCAGCTTGCCATTTGACCTCATCGGCTTTCCTCCGAGCAATGAGGAATCAAAACAGAAGGCCCCCACGAATCAGCCCTTCCAAGGCAAAAGGGACTTGGGCTAATTGTACTTCCACCCTGCAAGTAGCAAGCAGCGAGGGATGCATCGAATTTTCCGTCGAGTGTGGAATGCAAATTCTTCGATTCTTCCGCTTATTCGTTAAGTTTGCCCAAGGTGCGTAGGTTGGCTCAAGATCATTCCACTGCAAATCTGCCTGTCGTCCATCAACATTCTGAAAGCTGAGCACCACTTACACTCCACTGCATGAACCGTACAGAATCATTCCAAAGAGGCTCAGGATGGAGAACTCCCTTTGCTTCAAAAACCTGAAAAATGTGGGCTATCCCATTTTTCATCGCTTACGTCAGGCACAATCCTTACCACCCGTATGACTGTCATTTAGAAAACCCTAATCAATCAACCATCCCCTACGACCTGCTGGCATGGCAAGGTGGCACAGCACGGCTCTGCCTCCTTCATTTGCGCTTCAATGTCCCTCACCTCCTTGGTTTCTAAGGCCAGCGGCCCCGTCTTCAGCTTTGCCAGCAGCTCTTGCAAGCGACTGGCAGCGCTGGCAGCGCGCTCTTTGCTGGCCTTCCGTGCGCAACGCTCATGTATTGGTACGCAAGGCGATCACAACCCCAGCACCCATAATTGTTTCCCGATTCTTGTCCAGAATGCCGGCGATGTCTTCCAGGGTGCCCAGCATATCTGGCACCCTGGGAGATCAAAAACAGATATATTATAAATATATCTGCCTCACCCTCAGAGCTCAACCCACGATGTCGGTCGGTCGGTGTCGGTGTCGGTGTCTGTGTCTGTGTCTGTGTCTGTGTCTGCTCTGTCTGTCTCTGTCTCTGTCTCTGTCTCTGCCTCTGTCTCTGTCTGTCTGTTTCTCTCTCTCTCTCTCTCTCTCTGCCTGGCCCATCTTGAGCTGGACAGAAGTGAACACTCTGAGACGTGATGCATGCGGTGACAAAATTTCTTGTGAGAGTCACTCTTTCATAGCCCAGATGCTTGCGTGCCGTTTGTTTTGCATTTGGGAAGCACCAAAAATGAACCACGCCTGACTTAGCAGCTTCTGCCGCTGTGCCTGCAGCAGTTGTGGCGCCAAGTCGTATGGAAACTAGGGGCATGTGGCACATGGGACATGATGGGACCATTGTCGTGGGGACTCTGGGCCATCTGATGGCACCTCCAAAAACTGCTCAGCTTTTGGCCGTTCTCGTCGAGTCAGTGGTTCCTGGCATGAGCGTGGCTCCAACGCTTTTGAAGACATTGACTGCTAGAATCAGGGGGCATTAAGGAAGGTTGGTGCCAAAGCAGCTTGTAAACGAAGACAACTAAGATTGCTTGGAGCTTCAGGCCTTTCCACTGTACGACACTTTGCTGGACTGTGCTGTCCCTTACTTCTCAATGTTTAGATTCACAATCAGAAGCATGTCATACAGCAAGCGGACCTCCAGCAGTGCACCCATCTGCCGGCGCAGCTGTGTTTGTGCACTCAAGAGCTCATCCTTCTTGTCCACGAGCGCCAGCTCCTGTATACAATATAATATAAATATATATATATACATATATGGGAACGGATTGAAGCTCGGTTTTGAGCATCATTTCCGATAAAATGTCGGATCCCAACGCGGCACTAAATGCAAAAATGGCCAGCGTTCTGCACCTGTGTTTTTGGAGCTTTGGAGAGCGATATCTGATCGATTTGATCCAGCAAAGCGTCGGCTTCTGACAGCCAGTGCGACAGGCCATAAAAGGAGTAGCTCTCCTTGGGCTCAATGGTTGGAGTTTATTGGAGGTCAGAAACGCCAGCGCTTGCAATTCAACGATTTTGTGTACTGTTCAGACTGTTCATCCTTTTTGAACCCCTCCGAGCCGAGACTGAAACAGTGCCTGGTCTCTAAGTCCTCGATTGACTTCAGCAGCTCTTCTGCCATGGCATCGGCGCATGTGGTAGGTCGAAATTTTGGAAATCCAAGACGCGGCCATGTGAAAAGGGTGATGATAAAGGTTTTGAGATTTTGGGAGGTTGCCCAGCCTCCATGTACAGTTTAGCCTCTATAGAATCTTCAGGGGTCCATCTCTGCTAGAAATTTGAATTTTGTATAGTAGGCCTCTGTGCAAATGTTTCAACACATGTTGTGTGTTGGCTTGGGCCGAACCAGCTGAAAGGCTCCGGACAAATCTTCCCAAGCCGCCGCCAATGGCCTGCGAATGCCAAACATGGCACCATGGCCACAAAACAAGGTCGGCAGAACAAAACTGCCGAGTTGGGCTGGAATACCGGCAAAGTGCAAACATGAGCTGGAGGGCAAACACCAGGGGAGGGAATCTCCAGGTGTCAGATTGTCATCATGGATCACCCCCTCCATGTCCAAGAAATGGTGTCACAACAGGGACTTAAATGATGCACCTAACCTGAGGATTGCAAATAGTTTGGTACAGTAAAAGATCACCAAACACTAGTGGCTCAGGGCTGCAGAGGGTGACAAACCGCAGCTTACCAAACTGCCACATGTTTGATACTTGTGCATTTTTAGTGAATGGTGTTGAAGCTCAACATAGGTCGGGAAAGGGAGTCCAAAAATTTGGTGGAACAGATTGGCATGTTTTAGTCACATTTGCCCGCTCCCCCCACTATAGTAACTCACTTCACATGCAGAAACTATATATATATATATAAATCTATATAACTTCAGCCTATCAACTGGCTTTCGTAACAATGGATTTGGCTCAGCACCAGCCAAATGTGACTAAGTTAACCACGACCCGAGAAAGGAAGAACGAAAGCCAGTAGAAACCAATATGCAGGTCCGAGTTGCAAGGCAAGAGGCATGCAGCAGTTGACAAACTAGAAATACCAAGAGGCTGTGCATGGACACGTTGCGATCAAAGTCTGCAAGGACATTGCCCGAAGCGACACCTGAGCATGCTTCCAGCACACAAGCAGCACAAAGAACTTGAGAGAGGAGGGGGTGAATGAAAGGTAGCAGGCAATCACAAGTAACCCTGGTAGAAGTCCATGACGGCGTGACCCGGCGCAGGGGGGATTTGATCCAGGGAGGGGGGGGAGAGATGGACTGTTAGGAACTATGCGACAAAGCCCATTTCAAACAACAACAACAACAACTACTACTACTACTACTAGAACAAGATGAACAACAACACGGCCAGAACAACAACAACAACAACAACAACAACAAGATGAACAACAACGCGACGAGAACAAGAACACGACCAGAGCAACAACAACAACAACAACAAGAAGATGAACAACAACAGCGACAACAAGAAGAAGATGAACAACAACAACAAGATGCACAACAAGAACAACAACAAGATGAACAACAACAGCACCGAAAACAGCAACAACAACGACGACGACGGCGACGACGGCGACGACGACTACTACTATACTGCCACTACCACTACCACTACCACTACCACTACCACTACTACTACTACTACTACTCCTACTACTACTACTACTACCACTACTAGCACCACCACCACCACCACCACCACCATGACGACGACGATGACTACTAAACTACTACCACCACCACCACCACGACTACGAAGACGACGATGACTACTAAACTACTACCACCACCACCAC